GCATGATTTTGTTTTTAGAATTAGGATTGGCCACCCAAGCCCAGGATGTTTAGTGCTGGCCCGCTGCCTTGATCCACTTGCACACAACAGTGGGCTTATAAGAAAATGATGTCACCTTCACAATGTAAATTACCTCTGATGGGAATCCAGCTTCTAGCCTGCCTCCCAGTTCCTGAGCACAGCAGTTGGTGTCCCCGTATTAGAGTCTGAGCAAAGAAGCACAAAGTCATTCTCACCTCTTGCCGTCAGCTGAGACCTATCCTGTGGTTTCTAGATCCTTCTTTCTTGTCTGAGGCAGATGTCACTGCTCAGGGTAGACCTGTCACAGTGCCCTGACCAGTGTCACAGTGCCTTCCATGCCAGTGACATGGACAGGGACCAAACCTGTGTCCAAAAAGAGCTTCAGGGGGCATTCTGGGTATCCCACATACCTCAAACTACTCTATTTTGAGTAGTTAATATTTCCTCCATGCTGTTGTCACACTGATAAGCCTTATATTCACCATGAATGAAATAGCCTTAATGCCAGCTTAAAACCCTCTTAAGGTGGATTATATATAACTTTCCGTTATATTATTCTGAAGTTGGCTGTCCCACACCCCACAACCCCTGACACCCACCTTGCTGTTGGTGCTCAGTTCTGTGGGACAGGGGTCTCCCTGTTGCCAAGGCTACCACCATATTCCCCAGCAAACCACACAGCTCTTTCTTTTTAAGTCTTGTCTTTTTTGTAACTAATGTGAACCTGGAACCCAAACTGTGTGATGAGGAGAAAGCAGAGAGCATCCCACAGTGAGCTCTCTGGCCTGCTCAAGAGGTAGGATCTCCCTCCTTTTCCTCTTTGCCTCTAGAAGCATCACATAAAACCCAGTGTTCACTTCCCAGACAAGGCGAGGAAGTATTCTGTGTCTAATCACCTTTTGTCAAACTGCATGTCATACTATAGTTAATGTTTCAATGGTTGTGCTGGTACTGAATGCATTCAAAACAAAAGCAAAGTTTTCAAAGGAAAAGTTTAGTAGAGGAAAACTATTAAACATGCTGGGGACTATTGAGAACTCAGTCTTCCCCTGATCACTGAGTTCCAGCCTCCTCTGCATCCAACTCTTTGAAAACTAAGCCAGATCCAGCCTCTCATCACACCCCAAACACGCCAAGGCTCCCAGGCTCAGGGGTACCCTCTCACAGTCCTCTTCCCACCACATGCTTCAGGCATCTTGGACTCATTGTTGCAAGTCCCTGGGCCCTGATCTGTATCCCACAGTTTCTAATAAGCAGCATCCAGCAGATACCCCGGACCATCTGATGTAGTGGTCTCTCAGAACTCTTGATGCTCAGACAGCACCCATCTAAACCATGATGCTCTAATGAGCTTGGAGTTTTGTTTTTTCCACTTGTGTAGCCATCCTCCTCACCTTGACTCCAGTTTTGCTCTGTGTTTCTGCTTGCCGAGAGATACGTGAGGGATGGGGTTTTTGTTGTGCCCAGATTTTGAGATCCCCAGATATCATCGGGAGTCTGAAGTCGATGCAAACGCGTAAGGTGGTTTATTCAGGTGTGCCTGGGCTCCCAGCCGCCCCCTGCGCAGCAAGTTGGGACTGGGCAGCCCCAAGGTTGGACAGCACAGGGTTTTTATACAATTCAGGCCAATTCCACACAATTCCACAGTCATGATTGGTCAGTTTAACTGTTAACTTTTTTAAAAAGAACAAGTTGGCAGGCTTCTATTGGTGGGTTTGAAGCTAGCAACTTTCACATAGTATAAACTGGTGGGCTGTGGGGTAGTGAGCAGTCTTATTTAAAAAAGCACGCCAGGGGCCTCCTTCCTGAGGTGTGCTCTGCCTGTGTGACCTGCACAGACCTCTTGTAGGCTGTCAGGCCTGCGAGGTCACACAGTCCCCCATCCAAGCAAACAAAGCAGAAAACACTGCAGTCAACAAGGAGCAAATGGCAAATGGTTGGAATTCTGATTCTGAGGTTCCTCATTTTCCCTGGAGGCAGCATCTGTATGTTTGAACATCCAACAAGCACCCCCTCCTCTTGGCTGCATGTAATGGTGAGAGCGCTGTCAGGGGCCTCGCATGGGCAGGGTTTGCTGGACAGGTGAATGGCTGCCTGAGAGGGCTGGGGAGAGAAAGGACCCAAAACTCCTTCAAGGTGTGTGTGTTCCTCAGCTATTCCCAGACGGGCAGAAGTACCAAGCTACCCTGAGAGCAGTGAGCTCATCTGGCACAAAAACAGCAACTCAAGCCAAAGATGGGGAGACCATGGGTGAAAAGGGGGTGCCCCCAAAATGTATGTCTGCATCTGAACTCCCTGAAATGTACGGATATGAACTGAAGGCATCCTTTGGGAAAACATAAGCACCTTATTTATTTCCTTTTAGAGGAATTCGGTCACTTTTCTCATTCCAACAGGGATGTGGCCAGGCTGCCCGTTAACCCATCCACTGGTCCTTACAGAAAGCACAGGTGGACACCTGTGACATTACTTTGGAACATCGAGTCCATAGGAAACAATCCAGACTTGGAGTGAACCGTGACGTGTGTGTGTCAGCATAAGCCAGATGCCAGAGTAGCAGACGTGGTGATGTCCAGTCGTCCCTGGTCCTGACTCTTCTGTATCCTCTTTAAGTTCTGGTCAGATGCCAGAGGACATGAGTGTTAGATGGTGGTCGCAAGCCAAGCATTTCCTGTCACAATGTCATAATGTTTAGAGAGCCTTTTTTTGTTTTCTTGTCATGGTCTCATTAAACTTGGAGAATACATTAACTTCTGCATAATAATCTAAGTATTTAAGGGCTCCAGTGCCTTAGTTTTCTCACCTTCAAACCTCACCATCTGTCATCAACAAATGGGAACTAGTGATGGGAAAGGAAAATGAAAAGGAGAATATATATTAGGAATTAAAGAGAAAATCAAATAAATTGGACTCAGAATTCAGAATGAAGGGGACCTGGACAATAATTCCCACTTGTTTTAATTTGTTCTAAAAGAAGCGTATCTTGTTTTCATAATCTGGGAATGTTATGAAATACAAAAAGTGCCACAGCGAGCTGGCCAGAAAGATAGCAGGACGATGACTATTCTATCATACAAAAATAACCACCATGAACATTTCTAAAGCCTTTTTTTTTTTAGCATTTTCTCTACTCCTTTCTACTCATAGTTGAGGTATATAGACTCTTAATAGTGTAATGTAAGTATTTTTCAGTGCTGTGAAAACTCATGCATGGGTTAGTTATTTATTGCTTTGTAACAAATTGCCCGCATGTTTGACGCTTACCAATAAGTAAACACTTACTATCAACTTACCCTCTGTGGATCAGGTATCTGCAGGGAAAGTGGCTGTCTGTGTCAGTTCAGTGTCCCACTTGGTTGCAGTCAAGATGGTGCCTGAGGGGTGCTGGTTCATGCCCTAGCTGCTCCACTTCCTGCCCAGCTTCCTGCTAATGGGAAAACAGCCAAAGATCACTCACACACTTGGACCCAGGGCAACCATGTGGTTGAGCAGAGGAATCTCCTGGCTCCTGGCTTTGAATTGGTCATGCAACAGTTTTGGGAGTAAAACAGTAAAGAGAAGATCTCTCCCTCACTGCCACTCACTTTCTGTAACTTCCTAATTACACAGACAATTTTGTTCAGTACAGAAGGGACCTTTCCAGGGCCACAAGCACCCGGGATCAAGTGGAATGCTGGAACTCCTCTTGGATCTTGGAACCATGCTGGGAATTTTTTCTAAAGATGTATTTGGAGCCAGTGTTGGGTCCAGAATTTATCCTCAGCCATTAACACGCAATATCCACACACAACAATGCAAAGAGACTTTATTGCTAGCTCGAGCTAGGGTCCGAGTCTCATCCAATGCAGTAGTCTTGACAAGAACCCCACCTATACATCTCATCCAGTTTTTATAAGGATCTGGTTATGTAACTTTAAATTCCAAGAATAGATGACAACTTCTACAAACAGACACAGGTAGGATTTATAATTGGTCCATCTTTATTGCCTGTGACAGCCTGTTAACCAGGGACCTTCCAGGCCACTTCTGATTGGCCAGCTCTGTCTAGGGTGGGTTTCAGCCCACTTCGGGGAAGTGGTTGCATCAATTCTAGGAAACTGAAACTTAGGCCTAGGCTGTCGCACAACCTGTCGTGGCTTTACCTTAGGTCTTTATGCAGCAAGCTGAGCACTTATCATAGAAGCCAAGATCAGCGATTGGATGAATAAACTCTACTTAAAATGGATTAATAATATTCTAGCCCCACAACAGTGACAAGAGGGCAGAATCTTCCATCCCCTGATTACTCCCCAAATGGCTGCAAAAGCCAGGGTCACACCAGGATTAAGACAGTAGGCAGAAATTCCATCTGGGCCTCCCTCAGGACTAGCAGGGGCCCAAGTACTTGGGTGATGACCGAATACCATTCCAGGCACATTAACAAGGAGCTAGATCAGAAGCAGAGTAGCTGGATGTGAAACCAGTACTCTTATGCGGATGCTGAACCAAAAGCACCTCAATGTCATTTCTCCCAAAATGGGCATTCTTAATGGTTGTATGAATCTGTCACATTGGTCTTTGTAACCATATTCACAGCTTACATGCCCTGAATGTTATTTCTGGTAATTCTCTATTACAGAGTACCCTTTAGCAAGCACCTGTTTGTATTATACTTTTAATCAATACTTCATGTTACTTCTTTAAGGCATAGTCTCAGAAGTGAGATTGTTAAGTTAAAGAATTCCTTATTTACTTTATAAATGACCTTAACAAAGCAAATTGTGATTTTTGCATTGTTTATTTCACTTGACATGCATTTCCTTGTATATATTCATGATATATACCCTAAATGTCTAGGCGGTGACTCATAACTGCATGTTTATTTTTCAAAAATGAATTCCACCTCTAATATATGTTGGGCAGATACTCTATATCACATATATAATGTTTTAATACCTATGGCATGTGGGTTTTTTCATTGTTGTTTAACCATTTTATAGATCCTCCTGAGTTTGTTTGTTGCTGTAATTTTGGACAACTTAGAACTTGATGAAGATCTAAAGAAGCTAAAACAAGTAAGTAATGTTGGGGGTTCTTTTAAGCCTGCATTTAAAACACATAAGGGCCAAACATGCTTATAGGAAATATTAACAGCTTCAAAGTAAAAAAAAAAAAAAAAGAGCTTAATAAGATGGCGTCAGTGTGATATTCTTTTAGCTTTTGCTTAATATCCACAAGAATTTTTATTGCTCTATAAATAATCCTAGAGATCATTTTATATTGCTGAATGAAAATGAGGTAGGCATAGCAGAGTATGTTGGATCAGCAGATCACTTTCCATCTGCCACTGATAGAAATTAAATGCATAGAGCCAGATTTCTGCTTTGTATAATTGTATTCTTGTCACAAACATAATAAACATCAACTTACCTGCTCTCTAGACACTATGAATTTAGTCTGCATACCCATAACGATTGTAAGAAATTGGATTGTATAAATGTCAGATGTGTGCTGAGTGCAGCATGAAGTTGGATCAGCTCTCCAATCATTGGCAGTGTCCCCCACAATGGAAACAGATGTAGATGAGAGCTGTATTTTTAACAGCCTACTGTCTGTGTGTGAGGCATACCTTGCTCAAAGCTTTGGCTCCTTCAGAGCATCTGGACATGGCTAGGAGTAGAGTTGGGGTGGGAACGGAACCAAAGCGAGATGTTCTTGCACGTTACCAGGTTGTGTGGGAGATTCACGGACTTGACTGGAGCTCCACAAGAATTCTACTTGGAGTTATAGGAAGGCTTTACCATTCTGAATTTTTAAAAGTCATGTATATTTTAGCAAAAAAGCATAACCTATTGAATATTTTAAAACTTATTGTTATATATAGCTAATGATCACTTTAGGCATTCCATATTATTAATCTTTTCTCCAATGCCTATGCATTTAAACAAGAATTCCAATAAGAAAAAGATGTGTTTAATAGGAAGGTTCTTGCCGTGAGAGAACTGAGATAGGCTTTGCATTCATTACTGTCTGAAGCTATACCCGTAAATGGGTGTCCGGGTAGGTGGGGTGTGACTTCTTTCCCATCTTTTTACTTTGTGGCAGAAAAAAAATAGATCCTTCAGAGTCCTGAGTGTATTGGTGTCCTAACTTCACTGAAGAAACTTGTGCTGTGTGGGCTCAACATTGGAACTGATCAATAATATAATTCGACACGACCAATCAAACTGTTGTTGCTGTGTAACCTCAGTAGACCATGCTTAACCAATCTGCTGTATAAATGTGGGGTTTCATTCTGTATTTATTTGCATTAAATTTGAGTATCATCTGATAGAATGCATTAAAATATGTATTCTAAATAGATGAAATTATTTTATTTTGTGTGTGTGCTACTGTCAGGTCTGATATAGTCCTAAATAAGCTTTTATCAAGTGAAACACTATGGAAGGCAACCCGTATTTGTAAAGTAGACGTTTTTCCTAGAAAATAGAAAAATAAATTTATATGTAGCATTTTTTTTCAAATTCATGATGTTCAAGCCTAAGGATATTTTAGTGTTTTCTCAATATTTTCTTTTTATATAAAGATGTATATACATAACATCATTAAACTTCTGTGATTTACATACACAAAGGTCACTGTAGGCATCTCATTTTATTTTTATCTGAACCAAAAAACTGACCATCAAAGCATTGGGCCTTGCCTTGGCATCTGCCTGTCCTTCTGGACTGTGCAGAGTTAATGTAGTACATGCGGATTTGATTAGATCACTAGTTATAAACTGGATGTTATTTCATCACTTGTGTTTGAGGAAGTTCTGTACATGAGAACTGATTATCCAATTGTGCTAGCCCACAATTTAGAACGTCTTCTCTGACACTTGAAGCCTCACGGTCCCGATCAGAGAGGTAACAGCCGTCCCAGTTTCATTTGTACTTTGCACATTGTTCTTTATCCTTGATTAGACTGACACCACACTCATGACACTCATCTGTTCATTTCACTCTTGGAACTCATTGCATTTCAAGCTTGAAATTGGTGGAACAGTGTAAAGTGTGCCTTTTTTTGTCTTTCACTTTTGTATAGGCATGTTTGTTTTTCAGTAGTTAATAACACCATTTTCCGTAAACCTGGTTTCCTTAGCACCAGTGAGCTTGGCCTTGGAGGTAGGCTTCATTTACATAGTTTTAAGGAAACACACAAGCACAAATATGCATGGGTCCAATTTCATACACACGTACAGGTACTAGTGAGTGCCTGAAGCTTTGGACTCCTTTTTGCGGCTTCTTTTAAACTTCTGTTTAAAATGTTGCCTGATTGAATGTGTTTATTTTGCTTTCAATATAAAGCTTCAACCCTTAAGATTTGAATACGATAGTGTTTTTACTGTGCCCAGCCAGAGAACACAGATGCCCTGGTAACTGAAGGTCAGGCTTCTTTGTTTAGTATCCCCTAAGCGTAGTTCAAGACCTGGGAAATACATGTTATGTCTACATGATGCTGTTTGCCAATGTGTGATTATGATAAGTTGCTGAGGGATCAAGTCAGTTGGTACAGCTTTTTTTTTTACATAAAAAAATGACCTTAAACTGTCCTCTAAATGGCAGTGAGATGAAGGTTTTGAAGTTCAGTGGAGTAGGAATAATATTAGGGAATGGAGAGGAAGCTCTGTAAACTTTGAATTCGATGAGAATTCTTGCTGCTTTAATGATTTTTGCAAACTCAATGCAAGAGAGATATAAAACGTTTCTTTTTAAGCAGTAGAAAATTCATTAAACTGGGAGGGAGGAAAAATGCCCAGAGGAGCCTCGGGGAAAGAATTGTTGAAAAGGAAAGGAAAGATAGTCTTTTTTAGATTAAAGTCAAAGCTGTGAAATTAAAACTTGTTTCTCCAGCCAGCACTTGCACCAATCTCCCTTGAATCCCAGTTCAAACTTGATGATATGCAGCCTTTGATGGAGGGTACATGTATAAGGAATCTCGTCTCTTGTGTTGAACTATCACTTTTTAAAAAAACAAAAACAACAAACTCTTGCATCCCATTTTGTTTAAAAAAAATGGCTAGGTTTGATGTTGGCATTTATTCTCACTCTGTGTAATGTTAATCTCATGGGGTGAGTAGACTGGGCTAAGGAATCCCTAGACAGTAAAATGGTGCGTCTCTGAGGATGTTTCTGAAGAGGTTAGCCTTGTGTTGAGCAAAGCAGATCCCCTTCCCCATTGGAGCACAACTTCAGATCCTTTGAGGGCTCCTCAAGAGGGTGGAGGAACACTGGGTCCCCTCTGCTTGTGCTGGGTAAAGGAGCACCTGTCTTCAGGACTGGGTTTTGAAGGCTCCAGACCCAGGCAGGAACTTCCACTGGCTCTTGTTCCTTCCATACTACTAGATTTCTTAAGGTCTCTAACTTGCAGATGGAATCTTCTGGGTCTTTTTTGGTCCCTATATCACAAAAGAAAAGACATTATAATAATTATCTGTGGATATACTATTGGTCCAGATTCTTCGGAGCTTTATCATCATCTCTGTCTTCTGTATTAACACTCCTTCCAGATGCAGGGCCATAGCAAGGAGACAAGGATGTGGCTGGAGGGGGCAACACAGGTGATCGCCGTCTGACCCGGTATTTTGTCACTCAGGTGTGAACTCAAACAAAAGTGATGTGCCTGCCACAGTCCAACTACTTGTGTAGGACATACCATATTAAACTATTATAACTATTATATTTGATTCTGAATATGGAAATTGTGGGCATGAACATTCACCCAGGCTCACCCAGTTTGTAAATATCTGGGTCCTGTGGAATAACAATATAATGTGTGTGTACTGATTCAGAGTTCTGAACCAGTCTTGTTGCCAAAAGATACAACAGCTCCTTCATTCATAAGAGGCGTGTTTAGAAAGCAGATTGAGATGAGTGACTGTTCAGATTTTTAGATGAGCACATTATCTCCTTGTGCATGGACAGGAAGCAAAGCTGTGATCAGAGCACTGCTTTGTGGACCAGGAAGAAGTGTGTGGGGAGGGCTTTTGGATTCCAGCGTGCAAAGGTATAGACCATCTTGCATATGCCTTCTACAGACACTGAACACACTCCTTTTTTAGCGAAGTCTGGATACTGCAGAGATTGTGTTGGGGACAAGGGACAGGGAAGCACTTTTGCTTCACTGTTGACCATTCTGATAAATTTAAGAAACATCCAAGAAACACTGGATGCAGACTATAATGGCAGAGACATTTTCTCACAAATACATGAGGAATTGCAGAAGTTGAGCGGTGCTGAGCTGGATGAAGGGGCTTAGAGGAGAATGACTTGAAGGAGGGCACCTGAGTCCAATGGGAAAGCAAATGTTTTCTCTGGGTGCTTTTCTGGCTGCTGGGAGTCCACTGTGACTCAGGCATTGTGCAAGTGAGAATGGTGAACTGTGAAAAGAAGCGGGGGTCAGCAGGCAACGTTCTTTGGGCGGCACTAAGTATTTGGAAATTACCCTGACGGCACTTATGCCACAGTCATGTAATCATGCCTGTGTGCTGGCTTCAGGTGCATGAAGAGGAGAGCACCTGGAGGACAGGTGCTTTAAAGACAGGAGGATCAGCCCCAGGAGTAGGTGTATCTGAACCTGTAAGAGGAAGTACAGACTACTCAGCAGAGGTGGCATACAGAGGAGGGCATTTGGTAACTGGTAGAAGTCGGAAGTGAGCCAAAGCAGGAGACGAGGCCGTCACGTAGGTGTCTGAATTGCCCTAGGAATACTGAGAATACAGGCAAGAAAAGAAGTGGGAAATTTATTTGTTTGCCTTTGAGGCATGGGTGTTGATCATATATTCTAATAAGTGTCTGGTAGACATGTATGACATAGTTTTGAAAGATAGAGAAAAAGGTTAATGATTGAATGGAGGATATAGATGAAAATTCATATCACAAAGAGACAAAATCAGCATACATAGGGTCATGCCAGCCGTTGGAGAACCTGAGGTCAGCTAGGACAGAGTGATTCCTTTTGAGAAAAAAAAATGGATGGTATGAGCCAGGGAGGAAGACCTCAACACGCAGCGGAAGTCACAGCACGAGTGGCG